AGAAACCCATGATCATTGCTACATGTGACTCTGGCACCCAACATAGCAAGCAAGCGAGCCAGTGAGAGAGAAAAAAAGAGAAAGAGAGAAAGAAATTAAGAAAGAAAGAAAGAAAGAAAGAAAGGAAGGAAGGAGAGAAAACTTCAAAAAAACAACTCTGTAGACAGCATAAGGGACATTAATATTGGTAAGAGTTGCTCTAATTGAGAATAAAGATAAACCGTAATTAGAATCAAACCTTTTATTTGAAATCACCATATGTTTAAGACAGTTTGAATACAAAAGATACTTGAGTTATAGAGCCACTTCTTAGCAAAGATTCTTGAAAGTCCCCTTTTGGCCTTCTAATAAACAGAATAAACTTATGTTAAGGGACTGAGAAATAACACAGAGGCTAAGGTGTTCCCCTTGCATTCAGGAACTGTGAGTTTGGTTTTATTCCTGGAAGGTGTGGCCCAACCTTCCCTTACCCCCCCAAAAAAACCTCTCAGTCCCTGAATATAAGGAGAGCATCTTAGTCTCTGTGACATTTCTCAGGGTTCAGTCTCCAGCATCCCATGTGCTCCTGCCAAGTATAATCAGGAGTTATCCTAGAGCACACAGCCAGGAATGAACCCTGAGCATCACCAGGAGTGGCTCAAAAATAAAACAACAGGGGCTGGAGAGATAGCACAGCGGGTAGGGCGTTTGCCTTGCATGCGGCCAACCCAGGTTCGATTCCCAGCAGCCCATATGGTCCCCTGAGCACCGCCAGGGGTAATTCCTGAGTGCAGAGCCAGGAGTAACCCCTGTGCATCGCCAGGTGTGACCCAAAAAAGCAATAAATAAATAAATAAATAAATAAACTAAAAAAAAAACAACAAACAAAACTGGTAGGGTGTTTACCTTGCACAGGGCAGACATCTGGTATCCCATATGATCCCACAAGCCCACTACAAGGAGTAATTCCTGGATGCAGAGGCTGGAGTAACCCCTGAGTATCTCTGGGTTATCTCTGGGCATCAAACTTCCCCCACAAAAAAATGAAAACTTCCTAACCCAAATCAAGTATACAATAGTTTAAAAGTGATAGGAGAGTTAGTACTACAGGTAATGTGCTTGCCTTGCAAGCAATCCAACTAGATTTGATCCTTAGCATCACATATGGTCTCCCAAGACTGGCAGGAGTGATCTATGAGCACAGAGCAATGAGTAAGCTCTGGACACAGCTGGGTATGCCTCCCATCTCCACTATGGAAAAAGGAAAAAAAGATGGCTTGGGAGACAAGTCTACCATTTTCTCAGGAATAAACATGGGTTGTTAGAGGGTTTTCTCTTATTCAAGCAGTATGGACCTCAAATTGGGTTCAGTAACTACATGACTCAGAAGGGGTACTTGTAAATATGTAGCCATTCATGACATAATAGAGCTTTCAGGGACAGAAAGCAGAAATTCAGCGGAAAAAAAATCTGACAAGGAGCCAGAGAAATAAAGCTGAATAGCCCCAACTTACCCTGACACAGGAACTTCTTTCTGTTACTCAGATACAAACAAACATGCATTTCTGGGGACATTATTGTCTAGTAACTAAGCCCAGGCCTCCTGCAGGCAAAGCTTGCATGCCAGCCCACTGAAATATCTCTCCAGCCTCAAATATGCACTTCTGAACTAGACAGGCAAACACATACAGCTTGTCTATGGCTATGATGAAATGAATAAATTCAAGTGTTATAATATGAATGAAGTTTAGCTCCAAACTAGTTTTTTTAGATTTTTCTCCATTCTGTGACTATTCTTCAGGTCATTTTCTATTTTCAAGGTGAAAAATCACAAAGCAGAAAGACAAGGGAGCCCTTTTCCAGCTGGAACATATTGGAGAGAAACAAAATACAGCAGAACTAGTGAACAGCGAGACAAAAATTCCTGTGTTCAACCCCACTGGAGAACTTAAACTCTCTGTCTCTCACTCAGATAAAAAGTCAAGGTGAGCGCCTATGGCATCACCTGGAGCCCGAGCTGCAGAACGAGAGGGTTGGAGATCTAGCTGACAGGGGCCAAAAACAAAGAGGACAGAAGACCAGGAATGTGTTCTAGGTAGCCACCCAGAAACACTTGAAAGCTAAAAACAACGCAAAACCAGCTACCAGTAACCTCAAGAAAATAAATATTGCGAATGAGAAAAAGGTAAACAAAATCAATAAAGCTTCTGTAGACCTACAAAAGGAACTTGCATACTTCTCAAAAGGCCTTTCCGTGGAGCCCCTGCAGGAACCACTGATTTCTCAGCAGTGTCATGAAAATGAACCAGTTAATGTTGAAGCTTCAAAGTTATTGGCTCAGCTGTAATACAACACTGGTGATGCAGCAAACTCCCCCCAAGATCAAAAAACTAAATGATTCATACCCAAAAAAAGTCAAATTTTTTCATCTATTTTATTTATTTATTTATATATTTTTAAAATTTTTATTAGTGAGACACCATGAGGTACAGTTGTAGACTTACAAATTTTTGTGCTTGGGTTTCAATTATACAATAATCAAATACCCATCCCTCCACCAGTGCCCATTTCCCACCACCATGGATCCCAGTATCCCTCCCACCCCCCATCCCACCCTGCCTCTGTGGCAGGGCATTCCCTTTTGTTCTCTCTCTCTTATTGGGTGTTGTGGTTGCAAAAGAGGCAATGGGTGACAATCATGTTTGATCTATAGTCTACTTCCAGCATGCTTCTCCCATCCTGGGAGGATCCTCCCAACACCCTTTATTTGGTGCTCCCTTCTCTATCTGAGCTCCCTTCTCCCCTAGCATGTGTGGCTGGCCTCCAAGCCATGGAGTAAAATTCCTGGTACTAATCTCGGCCATTCTTGGGTGTTAGTCTCCTATTTTGTTAAAAAAAAAAATCAAATTTTTTTCCTTGACTTGTTACCACATGACCCCTCACCCTTCATTGCTCAGCCTTCCTCTTGCCTAGGGACCCTGCCCATTCCAAACACAACCTTACACACACCTCAGCACTCTCCCTCCTCTTTCTACTGCTTGCCACTTTCCATCTTTGCTGAGATAATTTTCCTCTAAATGTCAGTTCCCAGAGCACTTTTCCTCAAAATAGTATCATCACCATTAACATAATTACTTTACTTATTCACAGCACTTGGCATGTGTCTCCTCTTGAGTCAAACGGGAATTCCATGAGACTAGACTATTGGTTCAATTTTGCTATGGATCTTTTCCCAACTTAGTCCAGCCTCAGACACACTGTAAATGTAAAATTGATCAATGTTAAGAAATCTGGTGCAGGAGGAGTAATGCCAAGCACCATACTCAGGTTTCAAAGTAGGAGACACATGATAAGATATGGAGAGAAAAATGATATGATTTCCTTTCTAATCATCTAGACAGTAGGGCAGCCAAAGTGTAAGTCATTTTTGGAGCCAGGGATACGGCCAAGAGGCAGGTATATAGTTTGATCCCTGAACACCATTGGATGTGGCCCTGGTAGTTTCCACCTTGCAGGGGAGAGAACACAGCACATGCAAGCTACCATCAAGCTTACATGATAGGCAGAAGTAGCCCTTCCCAGAAAAAGAAAGCAGAGCCAGAGACAGAGCAAAGAGATTAGGCTCTTGACTTGCATGTGTCAGACACCTGATCAATTCCCAGCACCACCCATGGCCCCCATGTCACACTTCTGGGTGTGACCCAAACAAAGAAAGAAATTGGCCAGTGATGATGTTGAAGATTGGGTGACATAAACATGGGCTTATTAAGCTATTGTTTCTACTTCAAAATATCCTAAAGTGTCACGTAAACTTAAGATTTAAAAAAGGGGGCTGCAGTGACAGCACAGCGGGTAGCGCGTTTGCCCTGAACGCGGCCAACCCATGTTCGATCCCCAACATCCCATATGGTCCCCAGAGCACCGCCAGGAGTAATTTCTGAGTGCAGAGCCAGGAGTAAGCCCTGTGCATCGCCGGGTGTGGCCCAAAAAGCAAAAAAAAAAAAAAAAAAAAAAAAAAAAAACCTCTAGAAAGGACAAGAGAGAGATAGTAGAGAGGCTAGGGTACTTGCTTTCCACACAAGTGACCTTGGTTAGATAGATACCTAGCAGCAGGTGGGAGTGTGGAGCACAGAGCCTGGAGTGAACACTGAGCACCACTGTGTGTGGACTAAATCACCCTCTTCCCCCACCAATAAATAAATAAATAAATAAATAAAAAGAAGCCAAAGGAGATAGCTTAGAGTGCCTGAATAGGCGTCTTGCACACTTAACCACCCAGGTTCAGTGCAATGCCAGCTAAGCCCACCAAGCACTGATTTGAGTGATGGCCCACAGTATTGCAATGTGCATCTCAAAAGAGACAAAAGGCTAAAAGAAAAAATAAAGATACTGCTATATAAAATTTGATAAAGTACAGCTGACTGAAACTGTGCTAATCTGCCCAGTGAGCAGCTGTCCTGGGTAATGTCAAGTATCAGTGTAGGGAGGCTGCACCATGTTATTAAAAAGATAGGATACTTTCTATATTCAGAAAATCTTGGCACTGTGAAACACTTTAAGAGGCATTTCTCAGTAGGAAATAACCTCTCTCCTCTAAAATTGCACTTCCCAGACTTAGAGAATTCTGAAACATGTAAGAAACTCATGCCAGAATACTCATATGCCAGACCTAGACTAACAAGTTAGAGCTGTACCTACCGTGCTAACTTCAGAAAACGGGTAATTGATTTTATACTCAGAGAAGGCTGCTTCTTATCGTCTACAATGTTAGGTTGTTCGGGGACGCCAGGTTTGCAAAACCTGGCGTTTGCAAACGCCAGGTTCTGTAGTTACTTCAGACGGTTGGTTTGCAAACGCACAGTAATAAGATCAAGATTCTTGGTCTTACGGCTCTTTTGAGACAAGTTGGGTGGCTCTTAGAAGAGCCTTTTAGGACTAATTTTACCAGCCGAGGAAGCTTGTTACGCCCGCTCCCCGCGGATGCGGCGCGCCAGCTGGATGTCCTTGGGCATGATGGTGACGCGCTTGGCGTGGATGGCGCAGAGGTTGGTGTCCTCGAAGAGCCCCACCAGGTAGGCCTCGCACGCCTCCTGCAGCGCCATGACGGCCGAGCTCTGGAAGCGCAGGTCGGTCTTGAAGTCCTGCGCGATCTCGCGCACCAGCCGCTGGAACGGCAGCTTGCGGATGAGCAGCTCGGTGGACTTCTGGTAGCGGCGGATCTCGCGCAGCGCCACGGTGCCGGGCCGGTAGCGGTGCGGCTTCTTGACGCCGCCCGTGGCCGGCGCGCTCTTGCGGGCCGCCTTGGTGGCCAGCTGCTTGCGGGGCGCCTTCCCGCCGGTCGACTTGCGAGCGGTCTGCTTAGTCCGGGCCATTTCAAAGGACTGGAGATAACGCTCAGAAAGAAGAGTGAGGCTGCAGTTATATATACTCAGAAGCATGCTGATTGGCTGAAGTAGTTTTCAAAGGTTCCCGCGCGAAACACTCATTAGCTGGAAAGTGATTGGTGCGCGCCTAAGGTTCTGATTGGATAGCTGACTCCACGTTCCAATTCCCGCTCTCCTTGTTAGGGCTATGACCCAAAAGAGTTCATTTTATTGTATTCGTGGTAAGTGTATTTCAGTTTGTAAGAAACATCGGAATCATAAAAGGTGCCAGTTTTTATTCCGCAGATCTTTGTATTGGTCCAAATCGAGAGCATGCTTTTGACAACAGATCTGCCGGCGTTCCCAGTCTCCCCCCTCCCCACCTCAGGAAAGCCCGCGGCCGTGTTGCAGGAGTGACAATACGTTACTACTTTGAAATCTTTTACTTAGACGTCCGGGTTCTTGGTTCATTACCATGATAAAGCCCCTGGCCTGGAAATGATGGGGAAATTGCCAAACTGTCTGCTAGAGTCCGGAAGCCCTAAGGACAACATCGCGTCATTCGGAATTTGAAAAGCCCGCGCTCACTTTCAATTTGCCAACGGCTCTCTAACCTTTTCAGCTAGAGAGGTTAGAGAGCTTTTAACCTTTTCAATTAACTGTCTCTACTACCATTTCCTTTCCTTTAATTCTCCTTCAGAGCAAAGCTACCCATACTTACACCCCACCTGAACCCTTTTTGCCCCAGATTTTATGCGACCTTGGACTTATAGATAGGAGTACAAGTAAACTGCTAATAATTTTTTTTAATTATTAAAATTATCAGGCTTTTCTCTAACCCGGAATTCTGAGATTGAGAAACACGACTTAATAGGCTACAGTAGAAAAACATACTCATAGTGCACTCCAAACACTTAGAAGAAACATTCCTAGTTTTTACTTTAATCACCATAACGTTTTTTCAGAATTACCTTACGGTACCGTACCTTCAAGTGTCAGTTCCTTGCACAAACTCATTATTCCACACATTACTAACCCTCCTCTCATAAGCTTCGGTTTACCCTCACCACATTAAAGCAGAGCCTAATAGTCTTATTACTACCACTGGTAATTGTATGGGGTGAGTAACAAATGACAGGTACAGCTTTTTATGTGAAAATATGAATGGCTCTGAAAAGAGCCTTTGGTTAAGATGGCAGCTGCAGCCAATGCGATCAAGGGCTAATTTACTTGCCCTTGGCCTTGTGGTGGCTCTCGGTCTTCTTGGGCAGCAGCACGGCCTGGATGTTGGGCAGGACGCCGCCCTGGGCGATGGTCACTTTGCCGAGCAGCTTGTTGAGCTCCTCGTCGTTGCGGATGGCCAGCTGCAGGTGGCGCGGGATGATGCGCGTCTTCTTGTTGTCGCGGGCCGCGTTGCCCGCCAGCTCCAGGATCTCGGCCGTCAGGTACTCGAGCACGGCTGCCAGGTACACCGGGGCGCCGGCGCCCACCCGCTCCGAGTAGTTGCCCTTGCGGAGCAGCCGGTGCACTCGGCCCACGGGGAACTGCAGGCCGGCCCGCGACGAGCGGGTCTTGGCCTTGGCGCGCGCCTTGCCGCCCTGTTTGCCGCGTCCAGACATGGTCTTCAGTTATGAAAAGAAACGAATTGCACGTTAGAGAGAAAGTACAGTTTTATGGACTGCGGAGGTGGTCTTTTAAAAAAAAAAGCGCCAATGACATTGGTCAGCTACAAATTTCAACCAATCAAAAGAAAGGACTAAAACATCCCTCCCTTCTGTTTTACATTTAGCGTAAGTAATTGAAAGGTCAAAAGCTATACGCTCCGAACGAGCCAATGAAAATTTAGAATAGAGAAAGAGCCTATCAGAGGTTCAGATACTTAAGAACCAATCAGGATCTGCAAATGTGAACCTTCATTTACATATTCACAATATAAATACGGAGGCCGCTGTACCTGGGGTACACTTTATACTTTGTCCCTGAGACTTGGTATTAAGTATTACGATGCCTGAGCCGGCGAAGTCCGCTCCCGCCCCAAAGAAGGGCTCCAAGAAGGCCGTGACCAAGGCGCAGAAGAAGGACGGCAAGAAGCGCAAGCGCAGCCGCAAGGAGAGCTACTCGGTGTACGTGTACAAGGTGCTGAAGCAGGTGCACCCCGACACGGGCATCTCGTCCAAGGCTATGGGCATCATGAACTCGTTCGTCAACGACATCTTCGAGCGCATCGCCGGCGAGGCGTCCCGCCTGGCGCACTACAACAAGCGCTCGACCATCACGTCGCGGGAGATCCAGACGGCCGTGCGCCTGCTGCTGCCCGGGGAGCTGGCCAAGCACGCCGTGTCCGAGGGCACCAAGGCCGTCACCAAGTACACCAGCTCCAAGTAAGCAAGCGTCTATCAAAACCCCAAAGGCTCTTTTCAGAGCCACCCACGTTTTCACTTAAGGAACTGTAACTCTTGCTTTGCAATCTGTAGTTAATACTGTTACAAACCTTTTTTTCCCCCCTGGTTTGTTAAACAAGTTTTGTTCATTGTTCCTCATTACTCAACTAGCAAGGCTAGATATTTGGGTCTGTTATCGTTTGTAATCTCCTGAGCTTTTCATTATCACACCAGTATTCTGTGACCCTAAGAGAATTAGATTTTAGCAGTTAAAGTAATTTATGTAAATTGCTATTAAGGTTGATCCTGCATTCCTAAATCTTTTTGAAAATGGGTCACTCCCTTTAATTCCCTTTCCTCTTGCCCCAAATTCAACGCTGAGTAACATTTCATGTATTTTAATCTCAGCCCGATCATTCACCACACTTTTCTATTGTTTACCTACAAGTACAGATTGTAAGAAATAATGGCTCATTAGAGGGAGAAAAAGCAAATGACAGTCTCCAGCAATAATTCATCAACCTGTGATTTCTGAGGAGTTAGCAGTGCTTCAATATGTCAGCCTTTTAATCTTGAAACCTTAAAATTTTAAACCAAATCATTATTTCCAGTGGTTTAACTGAGAAAAGGCTACAAGCATTAGCATTTCATGGACCTCCTAGGTGTATGACAGATCTGTCCGCTAAAGACTGTCCTTTACTAGTCATATCCAAGGATTAGGGTTGAGCGATCCCTTAACACACTTGTTCATTATCACTTCATAACTACAAGGACTAGCAGTATTTCAACACTGTCAGACTTACTATTAAAAGCAGAAAAATTAGGTTCAAAAAGAAAATGAAGATAAGAATAAAAGAGAAACTTTTAGGTAGAGAGTAAAGACCAGATTTGGTCTTTTAATTACACATATATAAGGAGATCTAGAAACTAAGAGTCACTTTACAAGCTAAAGCATTCAGAGCACTGTGGTGTGGAGCAGGAACCATAGGCACTGACTACTTAACCCTGGACCCAAAATCTTATTGTCTCATTAACCCTGGACCCAAAATCTTATTGTCTCATTAAATATATGCTTTTATCTGTTCTTCCTACAAATGCTAATGTCTGTGAACCTTAAATCAGTGATTCCTTCTTAAAGTCAAAGGAAAAAAATTCCCTTGTCGTATAAAATTCAGCTACCCATTTCTTGATTTTCAAAACTGACTTTAAATTTATTTTAGAGCAATATACTGAAAAAATAAACACCCTGATTAATTAGCCCCAAGGAGTTGTATAGACTGGCTGCCTAGTGAAATGCTAATCTGGGCCAATTCCTTAAATCCTCTATGAGCATTTTCTTACTTCTGAAATGATAAATGGCATGTAACATTGCTGAGTGAATGGCAAATTAAAGGGCATTGGTGAAACACTCAGTGGAATCTGCAGAGAAAAATTCTCCAAAATAATTGAGACTAAAACCTCTGGTTGAAGTAAAAATGTTCTTGATCCTACTACCCACCTTGGAATCTCAGAGTTCTCAAGCCTTTAAACAAGGTATGGTTATAAAGAACGCCTAAAAGCATTAGACAGTAATGAGGTTCCTTGTCTGACAATGAGAAGGGCAATCCAAACTACTTTAAGACATTCAACTTCTTTAGAATCAATATCTCCAAGTCTTTCCTGCCTTGGTTGAAGGGTCCAGCAGTAAGTTTGTTCATTTCCCAGGGCATTTTATGCCTAGAATTAGAAATAATTTACCAAATGCCTTGGACAATAAGAGATCCTGGAATTAACACCAGAGCTGCCCATGGTCCATTTTTTCCCTTTTTATTCTCCCACTGCCTCCTGCTCTTTTTATTTCCTGTAGTGTCTAACCAGATTTATCCTCAGAAGAGTAGCTACACTTGAAACTTGAAGAGGATCAACCAAACCAACCATTGACAGGGGCGCTTGCCTTGCAAGCCGCAAACGTGGGCTGGATCGCCCGCACAATATATGGTTTTGAAATCACCTTTCTTGCATTGCATTTCTACTGGGTCAAGATGTGCAATCAGAAACTTTTAGTCAACTGTGTCAGTACGGAAGAAAACTGCCTTTTCTATTGTTTACCTAACAAAATGGTGAGGGTTGTTATCCTGAATGCCTGCCCATGGTCCTTTGTGTAAGCTATCATGTGTCATCAAGTATTAGGAAACACTATCACCAAAATATATCCCTAATCTTTTCAATTTCTGTACTAGCTGTCAAGTATCAGATCAGCGCCACGGCGCACACCGCCACCTGCAGTAGGGAACCGTGCGCTCCGCGACGGAGCCTTTGTTCTAAGACTCCACCGGCACGCCGCTGTCCGGGGAGGATAGGGTGGGGGTGGGGGAGCCTTTGTTCCCCGCCGTCTGCGCCATCTTAACCCCGGGACACAATTAAGGTTTTTAACGTGCTCTGCAACTGCTCCAGGCGTTTAAGAGCTTCACCGGGAGAAGGCTCAATCCCCAGCTAGGAAATGCAAGGAGCTTGCTTCTCACCCCTTCGGAAATCGAAATACCGAAATGGCCCAGAGACATTACCTCGATACCGGCCAGGACTTGAGCGTTTTTAATTCTACGATTACAAAACATGAATAGAATCCTGTAAGCAGACGTCGGTGGGGCGGTTGGAGGAACAAACGGCTAAATCCTCGAAGAACAAAGCAGTTACGAGCTCTTTAACAGATACATGTGGGCGGCCCTGAAAAGGGCCTTTGAGAGTTTGTTGAGGGGTGCGAGCTTAGCCGCCGAAGCCGTAGAGGGTGCGGCCCTGGCGCTTGAGCGCGTAGACCACGTCCATGGCCGTGACGGTCTTGCGCTTGGCGTGCTCGGTGTAGGTGACGGCGTCGCGGATGACGTTCTCCAGGAAGACCTTGAGCACCCCGCGGGTCTCCTCGTAGATGAGCCCCGAGATGCGCTTGACGCCGCCGCGCCGGGCCAGGCGGCGGATGGCGGGCTTGGTGATGCCCTGGATGTTGTCGCGGAGCACCTTGCGGTGGCGCTTGGCGCCGCCCTTGCCCAGGCCCTTCCCGCCTTTACCTCGTCCAGACATGTCGACGTCGCAGCTGGGACAGAAGTGAAAAAAGCGCCAAGTTGATTCCTTTATATGTAATGAGGACGGACCTGATTGAAGACTGAAGCCACGCAGGTGGGCGTGTCGGATCCGCCCTGGCCCCGCCCACCGAGCCCGCCTACGATGACGTCAGGCCCCTGCGCGCTGGCCCACCCGATCCGCCCTGTACCGCGGCGTTTGGGGGGAGATCCAGCTTTCCCAAGTGGTAACTTTCCCTCTCAGGACCAGGAATTTCGCGTTCCCTACCGAGGATCATTTGCTGCTTTAGGGTCTTTTAAAACGAATGCACAGGAGGCGAGCCCAGCCGGCCGGAAGTGCAGCCGTCCGGGAGCCGGCTCCTCCGCCACTTCCGGTCCCTCAGGCCAAAGGGCCGCGGCACTTCCCAGCGGCGCGGCTGCGTCCGCTCCCTCTTAGCCGAGGGGAATCTAAGCGAATAGCGTTTCGCGCCAAACAACGTTAGAGACTTCATGAATGTAGGGTTGGACTTCCGACCTTCCCGGGAAGGCCTGGGTGGGTTGGTTTTTGACTTTTCCTTTTTTTCTTTTATGTTCTTTTTGAGTCTCTGGCCTTCCTCACTGGCTCTGTTTTCGTCCCTCGTTCTGATAACCCGTGATTTCCAGCAGAACGTCGCGCCGTCCCTCCCGCTGTACCCAGTTACCGATGAACTAGTGGTGCCCTACCCCTGGCCATTCATCTGGGAAGCAACATTATTCTGGCGAGTCGATGGCGTGTGATTCGATACGCGTGACTCCTAACGCAGTGAATGGAATCTCACAGGGTTAGTTGTGGAGCGTCAGTGACCGGCCTCCATTGAGAATGAAGAGGACTTCTGCAAGGTCGCTACCATCGCTTAGCAGAGTGGCGCAGCGGAAGCGTGCTGGGCCCATAACCCAGAGGTCGATGGATCGAAACCATCCTCTGCTAACACCTTTTTATTCCCCCCAGTAACAATTCTGTACTTTAAAAATTTCAACCCTTTAACAAATACTAAAAGTCAAACAAAACAAACTAAAACTGAATACATCTCACATTCTCTATTGTACATCGAACGCAGATCAAATTATTTCTCTGAGAAATAAAATTCAAAGCGCGCACACGCCTTCCTTCGGCTCCCCCCGAGTTCCTCTGCCGTTGTTGCGGGTCACCTGAGGTCTGGACCGCTCTGCGGTGCTCGGTGATGCCCGGGAAATGCTCGAGTCCACTGCGCGTAGGACTGAGGGCCGGGTGGAAGCTGAAAGACTTTTATTTCCTTTTAGATGTAGTTCTACAGAGAATGTCCTTTTCGCGGAATCTCTGGGTGATGATGTTATTCCATATATCTGCAGTACTGCTTTACTAAGGACCAGGTTGTCAGCATATTTGAAGAAAAAGCTCCTTGATAGATTGTGATGGCCCTGTGATAGACGAGACGTCTACTGAATCCAAGGCTTTTCTTCGAAGAGGTTCAGAATCATTGTAGTTAGTCAGACGTTCAGAATTAAGGACACAGTTACTAAGTCCTGAGGATTGTGACCTGAATAACCCATTTCTACAGACTTATAAATCAGACATATTAATAACACATCCTTATTCAGCATAAGTTGCATGTGTGTCTGTTAAATTTGATCATCCTGTATTACTCTCCATTTTCCACTTAGATGCTGAATAAAAAAGTAAAGGTAATGATAAAAAAAAAGTAAAGATGCTGAATATGAAACATAATCGCTCCGTGAGCGCGTGTCCATGTGGTCGCCGGAGAGCGGGGTCGCCATGGCGGAGGTGCAGCAGCTGCGGGTGCAGGAGGCGGTGGACTCCAGGGTGAAGAGCCTGGAGCGCGAGAACATCCGGAAGATGCAGTGTCATGCTCCGGTGCAGTGCCAGCTGCTGTGAGGACACCCAGGCGACCATGCAACAGGTGCACCAGTGCATTGAGCTCTGCCATGCATCACTGGCCCAAGCCCAGGCCCTGGTGATGGGGGGGAGCTGGAGCAGTTCCAGGACCGCCTGGCCTGGTGCACCATGCATTGCAACGACAAAGCCAAAGATTCAATGGATGCAGGGAATAAAGAGCTTCAGGCAAAACAACAGCTGGAGAGTTGTGTGACCAAGTGTGTAATGATCACACGCATCTCATCCCAACCATGAAAGAGTCTCTCTCATCCATTGCAAAATAGAAGTCTGTGTCCCAGGCCATGGAGACCAAGGGCAGGAGTCTCTTTGAAAGAGAGAAATGGGAATGTTGTCTTTTTAAACCGTGTCAACGAATGAAGAAAAAAAGGAAGGCAGCGAGTTTAAGACTGGTTACTTGCCTTGGAATACTGGTTCCTTTATTTTTCCAGTCTTTGACGTGAAAAAGAAAAAAAAAATGGTGCTTAAGTTTGGATCGGAGATAACACAGGAGACATTTGAGAGCCTAAATATCTGTGGCAACTGCTTGTCCTGGCTATAGGATCTCTCCTACCAGACCACAGTTCTCCAATGTGCCAACTGCTTCTTAGCACTCAGTTGGGTACCAGGAAACTGGCAGGTTCCTCTCATCTGCCAGTGTCTGACAGAGAATGAAGGAAAGTGTTTGTTCCAACCTCCTGTTGACTATAAAGATCACTACATCGTTTTTTATAAACCAGTAAAGCAATAATCCATGAGGTCCCTATTTGGGGAGGAGGGAGGTGTGGGGCAGGGGGGAGAACTGGGTCTGTATTTTGCTTGGTTCTACTTTACGTGCAAGAGCAAGAAATTGGTTTAAGGTACAGAGTTGGGGAACAAAGATAGTTTAAGAACTTTGAAGTTCTTTGTGTCTGTTTGTGGCCATTGCAATGGAAATGCACACGACTTGAAGCTTTCCAGCATTGCAAGTTCAGCTTGGAGACCCTGAAGAAACAGGACAGGCAATATTAAAACAGTGAATTTGAAGCGGAGCTTCTCTCTTACTGGCTGCCAGAATGGACCCCAGGTTCTCTGCAACTGAGTGACAGGGTAGTATTGAGACACTGGGAGAGAGAAGGGAGTTGGTTGGGTGTATACCAGTGTACAGGAATGAACATTGATAGAGCAAGTTTCCACTGTTGAAAAGAGTTTGACTGGATCTAGGAAAAACCTGGCTTTCATGCGTAGAATGCAGTGAAAGCCTAAACTCAGTATTGTATGTTGTGCACTGTCCCCCTAAAATAAGAGAGCCCTAGGGAAGCAATCCCTTGGCAACAGAGAGAAAAGGCAAGTAGCTAGTGGTTGGCAGGAGTTGTGACTCCTTTAGAGGAAAGGAACACAACCCGTTTTCCAAATACACTTTTGCCTGGGGCCTTACATCCTTCATTGCCCCAGTACCAGCGCCTTATCATTTTGATGAGGCCCTTGTCTTTTTACCAATGTTTTACTTGATATTATAGCCTATCTGTTTGCTGTTCAAGATTGTGATATACTTTCTAGTGGTTTGGTTCTAAAAAATAAATAAGATTTTAAGTTTTCCTCCACAAAAAAAAAAATCACAAAAAAATCTTTGTTCTCTTTCCTTTCTTTCCTTTCTTTCTTTCCTTTCTTTCTTTCCTTCCCTCATTTTTTTGTTTCTTTGTTTTTGTTGTTTTGTTTTGGGACTGAAAGCTACTCCCCATCCTCGGATGGCTCGAGGGACCCAAAAGTGACTCCCGAGAATGCAAAGCCTGTGTTCAGGCCCACCGAGTTGTCTGCATCCCCAAAGAGAACTCCCCGTCCTTATGCCCCCTTCCACCCAGAAGGCCTCCCTGCATTCTTACCCAGCTCAAAGTGAAAACTTTGGTGTTACAATTTTTGGAAAAAATCTTGGAGAGGCAAATGACTTCTCTATTTCTTTTGCACCCTCAATCCAATCCACAAGCCCTTTAGTACCATCTGTACTTCAACATCCTGTACCATCCAGAGTTCTCAACAGCTTCTCACCACTTCCACTCACTCAGCATTGCCCCTGAAGAGTTTGCTTCCAGAAAGAGGGAGCAACAAATCCTAAATCAGATTTCTACAGGATAAAACAAACTTTCTGTTAAAAACATCCCACATGACAGATGACTGCAGATTATATAGACGTTACGTATATATACACACTATGTGATATAGCTTTTACTTTTATAATTATATGTAACACAGCATATATTGCATATAAATGGAATTTCTATAAAATTTATACATAAATGTATATCATTTATAAATGGAATTCAGCACATGTTTACTCAGCACGTTTTCTCAGTTTTCATTAAAGAAAAAGGCTGTTTCTCTGTCCCACTTTTGTGCTCCAGAAGTTGCTAATTTTCTAGTCAAGAAAAGCCAAGATCTATTACAAGTGAGCTAGAAGGGCGCAAGAAAATGGTGAATATGGGTCAGCACTAGTAGAGCATAAACCCTGAGAGTGAGAAAGTAACGAGAAGGAAGAGAGAAGGGAGGGGAGGGAGGTGTGGAAGGAGAAAAAGAGGAAAAGAAGTATCTCAGAGCAGACAAAGTACATACAGATCTTGGTATCTTTTAGCTGTTTTAACTCCAGGTCTTCTGTTCAGTTACAGAGTAAAAGACTTTTCTTGCCTTGAATACCAATACACTTAACAAAACTGAAATAGTCACTGCACTTCATCAGACGTCATTCCGTGGCCCCAAAGCACCCAGCGTTTTTATTTTTTCAGTGACAAAAGCGGAGGCATTTGCATTTGGATCCGTGGTGCTTTGGGAAGGGGGAGATGGAAGGCGGGGGCCGCAGCCTGAGACACCGTGCTCATTATACTTTCTAAGTATTACCGCACGCTTAGTCACCAGGGACCACGTGGCCTAACGGATAAGGCGTCTGACTTCGGATCAGAAGATTGAGGGTTCGAATCCCTTCGTGGTTACGTTTTGTGCCTTATTCCTAAATTTAACTGCGGCAGTTTACGAGGTTGGGTGATTTTTAAATCTTTTCCCTTTCTTCCTGCTCTTTTCTTTTTCAAAGAGATTTTCGCAAAAGATATTAGATAAAGCACTTGAGTACAAAAGTAGAGAGCATTGAAGC